GTCACCATTCCAAATCTCTGGGAATCCTATGGATCTCAGGATACCTGAACATCCTTTCCTAAGCACTAGTTCCTAGTCTCACCTGTCTTGTGATTGTTCCTGCATCTCTCTTTAGGAAATAGGTCAGTTCTTACAGTGGAGGGTGCTCTCAGTGTAAGGTAACAGTAACCAGTCCAGTATTAGTTTGCATAGGTTTTTGGACTGATGATGCTGCAGAGAGGTTGTCACCCTCTGTATCTGTGGAGGAATCACCAGCCTCTTTTACATTTTGGAGACTTCTTCACACCATTTCTTATGCCCCAGAACACATAGCTTTAAATACTACATTCTAACCTCTTATTGGATCCATTTATTAGCCTTTTTAATGATGTGTTCATTAAAAGTTTAGCTGAACTTCTTGTATCTTTTTTCACCAGTGTGAGCTGTGCCTCATTCCAAAGAAGTTACTGATGTAATACTTTCAATAAGGGGATTAGTCTTGGCAGCACACCCTATCACCTTCTTATGGTAAATTGAGCTGATGGGGAACTCTGCTTTGATTTGGGGATGGCATTTAAGAGCAAAGCTTTAAGGGACATTATCCTCTTTTGAAAATATAATAATTATGTTGCTATGATTTGCATTCATATAGATATCACTTCTGCAGTATCATCTAATGGTCACAGTTGAACCCTTACAAAGATGTGGGAAACTATAGTATCCCTGCTCCTTTGGTAGAGTAACTATTTCCACAAGAGAAAAATGTATCAGAGCAGTTCTATGGAAACTGGAAACACAATGGGTTTGGACAAAAGTAGACCGAACAGACAGAGAAAGCTAATAATGTGTGCTTTCGTGAGGCTTTCCAGCAGATATGGTCTGAAGCAGTAATTTTTCTTCTAAATTTGGATAGCAGGTATAGCTTGATACATGTTTACCATAATAAGTATCTTAAATTGAAGACTATCTCCATCATTCCAGCAATGTCTGGCTAATGTGATGTAAATGATGTTGACTATGGTTCTTAAGTACCCATCCACTTGTGATGAGAGGTTGGGATATCTCTTTGAAGACCCAGGTAAGGATTACAGGCAGTCCCCGGGTTACGTACAAGATAGGGACTGTAGGTTTGTTCTTAAGTTGAATTTGTATGTAAGTCGGAACTGGTACATACTGTAGGGGAAACTCTAGCCAAACATTTCTCCAGAGCTCAGTTTTATTCTCCCACACCTCACTTCCCTCAGGCCTTTATTCTCAAGCTGAGGTGTCTGCTGAGAAAAGCCGCTCCACGACTCCCTGGTCTGCTGTGGGAGGGGGGGCCCTAGCTTCGCGTCTCCCTGGTCTGCTGGGGGGAAGCAGCTAGTGCGGGGTTGCCTCACCCCGTTTGTAAGTAGGGATCCGATGTAAGTCGGATCCATGTAACCCGGGGACTGCCTGTATATAAAAATGACTCTTTCCTTTTCATTGTAAAGTTCAGTAGAGAAACAAGTGGCCAAAACCAAACCAACTCCTTCCCCCTCCTCCCCATTTCAACCCTACAATGTACTCCTCTCTATATTGGAAGTGATCTGCTAATCTACAGCTCAAACAAGCACTAGAACACCTGGCCTCATTGAAGTCAATGACAAAATTTCCATTGACTTCAACAGGGCAAGATTTCAGCTCTGAGGCATAACTTACCACTATATCCAGGTTTCTGTATGCTCCTTTGTTATTTTTAGCAGTTGCTTAAATGCTTCCCTTAGCTGTTCAGTTCAACCCTCCTGATGATCCTGGGAGTTGCTTAGCAAAGGGGATTGCAGCTGTATAGCAACTATCAGGGTCAGTCCATACAGAAGAGAGGAACCAGAGTCCTCACCTAGAAGGATTAAAATCTTCATGTCAGTCACCCTTTGGAACCAGAAACTGTACAATATATCATCACTGTATATTACAAATATTCTCATAGTAACTTATATTCTGTAACAGGCTAACAGTTGCAACAAAATGTCATCCAGTTTTAACATGCACGTGTGTAGAGGCCACATCAGTGTTCATAGTACTCAACCAGCTTGTAGGTGTACCTGTATCACCTGGAGCCCCAAAGTGGAAGTAGGGCTCTAAAGGAAAATAGCAGTTTCCTGTGTCACTGCCTGCCTTATCGGTAATGATCTCATGGTAGAAATAGGAAGAGACACTTCGGTAAAGGTTGATATTGACATTTCCATTAATACACAAATATGCTAAATTTTGCTGAATGTAATGTAACAACAGAAAGGCAACAGCTCTACTGCCAGCAGCATTAGTAGCTATAATACCATTAGTAATGCAATAGGATATACCTGAAGGTGGATGGAGACTATGAAGTAAGAGCCTGCCAT